TGCGCCTGACTCCCGCCCAGTCGCCGCGGCTTCGGGCGCCCTGCCAACGCACCCACCTGCAGAGCGCGGGCCAGGCGGCGGCGGCGGCGGCCCCCAGCAGGCCCCTGGGCCCTCCCTGCAAGCCCCCGGGCGCAGCCTAGCGACCACAGGGTCCCTGACGTCGCGGACGACGTCGCGACCGCGGACGTCGGCTGCAGAATTGATTTACCCAAAATTGGTTTACTCGTCGAATCCATGAGGAGTGCGTAAAATGTCCGTAGATCTACGACCATTCTACGTATACGTCGGCGAGAATGAATTTTGGGGTAAGTCAATTCTGCAGTCGACCCCCTACTCGAACCATCAGGCCGTGCTCGGCACAGGCCCCCCCCCCGGCACCCCCGCGCTGGGCGCCACGGCCCCCTTGCCCTTGCGCGCCGGAGGCGGGGTACGGCGGCGGTCCGCGTGGACCGCTCACCCTTGGGCAGCCCGCGAGTCGGACAGCCGCGCCCCTCCCATTGGGGAGCGCCGTGGAGCAGCACTGCCCGGCCGCCAGCCCGCCCCGAGCCCGGCGGCAGCGGCCGCGCGCCAGCCTTTGACCCCTGGGCTGCAGCGGCTGCGGGCCGTGGGGCCCTCCGCAGCGCCTCCCCCTGTCCCTTTCCCGACGCCCAGGCCCCCGCAAGGCCTCCCGTCCCGTCTCCGCACCAGGCAGGGCGCCGAGGCTTGGCTGGAGTGGTGTGCGTTCCACCGCGCCCCGCCGGACCCTGCGTGGCACCACGCGAGCGGCCTCGGGTCCTTCGCTGGCTGGTGCCGCACGAGGGGCATCGACGTCCTCGGCCTCCTGGTACGGGCACCAGGCGCACCGACCTTGCCTGCTCCAGAAGGGTCGACCCAACCCATCCGTCCAGCTGGGCCCCTGGATCTCACTCGTGATCAGCCGCTCTGCCTCCGCAGCTCGGGCTCGCGTTTCGCGGTGACTGGTACCGGCGGCGAGCGAGGGGGGGAAGTGAGAGGGGGCGGGTCTTTTCAGAAGGCTCGGAAATCGTTCGGCCTTCCGAGAGGTTTTCTGTGCCTCCCCCGAAGACGCAGACAACTGTTCAGAAGGCGCGAGGGATTCTGAGAAGCCCCGCCGCCTTCCGAGAAGGCCTTCTCCTTCTCACTTCCCCCCCTCGTTCTCCGCCGAAAGGAGGAGGAGGAGGAGGAGGAGGAGGAGGAGGAGGAGGAGGAGGAGGGCGAGGGGCAGCGAGGCTTTCCTAAGCACTCTGGGATCTTACCTTGGCCCTTCGAGGGCCTCCAGAGACTTGGTGGTCCCCATACGTGGTGGTGAGAACACCCGGTGGTGAGTTTTGGGCGATTTGGGTAATGGTTTTCGAGCGCTGACTGGCCCAGGAAACGCAAAACCTCGTGGCGACCGCGTGTCCCCAAACCCGGTGTTGACCCAGAATTATTTTTGGGGGGAATCGGGGTCATCACCAGGTGTCTCACCACCTGCTTTGGAGACCACCAAGAGACCTCGGTGGGGCCGCCGCCACGGTGGCCGCCATGGGCTCACGGTGACGCGCACGCGTTCACCCTGCCCGCTCCGCCCTCCGCTGCCCTGGCCCGTCCTTGCCAGCTGGCGCACTGCTGCGCCGCGACGGCCGCAGTGCCCGGAGGCCTTGCATCGACTGCGGCCTCCATGCGTGTCCTCCTCCTCCTCCTCCTCCTCCTCCTCCTCCTCCTCTCCTCCTCCTCCTCCCCCTCCTCTCCTCCTCCTCCTCCTCCTCCTCCTCCTCCTCCTCCTCCTCCTCCTCCTCCTCCTCCTCCTCCTCCTCCTCCTCCTCCTCCTCCCCCTCCTCCTGCTGCCAGGTCCGCCGACGCAAAAGTGAGTGTGGGTGCGGGCGCGGCGGTGGCCGCAGTCGCGCCGCGCCCTTTGGCACTGGCGCGGCTGCCCATCTCGCGCCGCCGGGTGGGTCCTCCTTCCCTCCTTCGCTGTCGTCGTGCGTCGCCTCCTTCTCTCCTCCTGCTCGCGCCTCGGGGCTGACCCCCGGGGTTTCGTCCTTCCCTCCTCCTCGGGTCGTCCGTCGCTCCCTTCCCTCCTCGCCAAGTACGAAGTCAATGCGAATCATCGCCAAATCGGGCGGCATTTGCGCCACGAGGGGGATAATCTCCCCGATCCGTGGATCTGCCGCCCATGTGCCAGATCTACGGATCCGTGCTACATGTTAGCCTGTGCCTGTCAATCTAACAGTATCTAAATCACCGCCGCCGCCTGCCTTCTGGAAGCGCCCATGCGGCCAAACGTTTGGCCGAAATCAGTCAAGCTATTGGAGTCCATATGTGTTCCCCCCAGCCGTGGTGGAACCCCTTGGGGGAACACTGGGGAGAGGAAGCTATAGGAGGAGAAGAGGGAGGATACTGATGATGATGATGATGATGATGATGATGATGATGATGATGATGATGATGATGATGATGATGATGATGCTGCTGCTGCTGCTGCTGATGATGATGATGATGATGATGATGATGATGATGATGATGATGATGATGCTGATGATGATGATGATGATGATGATGATGATGCTGATGCTGATGATGATGATGCTGAGGATGATGCTGCTGCTGATGATGATGATGATGCTGCTGATGATGATGATGATGATGATGATGATGATGAGATGATGATCTGATGCTGATGCTGATGCTGATGCTGATGCTGATGATGATGATGATGATGATGATGATGATGATGATGATGTGATGATGATGATGATGATGATTGATGATGATGATGATGATGATGATGAGGAGGAGGAGGAGGAGGAGGAGGAGGAGGAGGAGGAGGAGGAGGAGGAGGAGGAGGAGGAGGAGGAGGAGGAGGAGGAGGAGGGAGGAGGAGGAGGAGGAGGAGGAGGAGGAGGAGGAGGGAGGAGGAGGAGGAGAGGAGGAGAGGAGGAGGAGGAGGAGGAGGAGAGGAGGAGGAGGAGGAGGAGGAGGAGGATGAACACTATGCCTCTTGAGGCCCTCTTCAGGCCTCTGGGAGCTTCTTTTGGGGGCCGCTTGAGGCCTCCTGGGGTTCTCCTGGGGCCTCTTGGGGACCTCTTATGGGGCCTCGGGGGGCCTCTAGTTATGGGACCTCTTGGCCTTCGGAGGCTGTCTTGGGGCCTGCTTTCGGGCCGTCTTGGAGGCCTCTTGTGCTGTCTTGGGGCCCTCTTGGGCCGTCTTGGGACCATTTTGGGTGCCTACGGGCCCGTCTTGGAGCGTCGGACGCCCGAGAAGGGATAACTACGCTAACATTATTGAACCACAATCGACAAAACCAACACAGCTTTTGGCCTCCTCGAGGTCCTCTTGGAGCCCTCCTGGGGCGTCTAGAGGGCCTCTTGGCCTTCATAGGCTGTCTTGGGCCCTCCCTGAGCAGTCGTGGGTCCTTCTTTGGCTGCTTTAGGGCCGTCTTGGACGTCTCTGGGGCAGTTTCGGGGCCGTCTTGGGGGCCTCTCTGGCCGTCTTGCGGGCCTCTTGGGGGCCTCCTGGGTCGGCTTGGGGCGATCTTGTAAGGAACATCGTGGGTTTTGGCGTCCTCTTGGAGCCCTCTTGGGGCGACTAAGGGGCCTCCTGGCCTTCAGAGGCCGTCTCGGGCACTCCGTGGGCAGTCGTGGATGGCTCTTTGGACGCTTTCGGGCCGTCTTGGAGGTCTCTGTGGCCGTCTTGGAGCTGTCTTGGGGGCCTCTTGGGTTGTCTGTTGTCTTGTCCTGTCTTTGGGCCCTTTGGGGCCGTCTTGGGGCCTCTTGGGGGCCTCTTGGGCCCTTTTGCGGTGGTTTTGGGGCCCACGGGCCCGCCCGTCTTGGAGCGTCGGAAGCCCGAAAAGGCGAGAACGCTAAAACAAGTACGGTAGACATAATAAGGGAAATTCGAGATCTTGGCCTCCTCGAGGTCCTCTTAGAGCCTATTTGGTGCGTTGCTGCGTCTGAGGGGCCACTTGGGCCGTCTGGAGGACATCTTGGGACGTCTCGGAGCCATCTTGGCCGTTTTGGGTGCGTCTTGGGACCGTCTTGCAGGCCATCTTGGGCCATCCTGGCCATCTTGGGCCATCTTGATCGTCTTGGAGGCCATCCAGGGGCCGTCTTGGGCGGAAAGACCTATGACACGGAGATTCTCTGGGTGGCCGGCGGGTTGGGCCGAGATCCCATTGGGAGTTCTTCAGACAAGAATCAAACACCTGCCAGACATTCGGAACGCCGTGCACCCCTTGAATAAATCAACACGGGGCGGCGGATCCAGTGGCCTTCGGTCCATCCCGCCACTGTGCCTGGTTGTAGGTCAGATGCTTCATGGATGCTTGTGAGGATCTTTTGGGAAGCCTCTTGGAGATGGTTTTGGGGGTGTCTTGGGTCGTCTTGGGGGCCTCTTGGGATCTGATTTGTGCCTCTCGGAGCCTCTTTGGGGCCTCTTGGGCCCTCTTGGGCGCACCTCGGGGGCTTGTGGGGGGGATGTTGGGGCCATCTTGTGGCGGAGGGCTCAACATGTCAGTTCGTGTTCCATCTTGGGGCCGTCTTGGGGGCCTCTTGGGGTCCTCTTGGGGACTCGGGCCGATTTGTTGTGATCTTGGGCGCCTTTTGGGCCGTCTCGGACGCTTTGAAGATCGACAAGGCGGTGATGCGAACACGCGGAAGCCAATGGATTTTGACGACCTGGGCTTCTTGGGCTGCCCTCCAGGGCTTCGTAGACGGCCCAAGAGGCGCCCGGGAGGGCTCCGGGACGGTCCCCTGGGGGCCATCCGAGACCATGTTGGACGCGCACGTCCCGAACAGCGCGCTCTCGGCCTCTCGAAACGTCGTGCGGGGACCCCCTGGTGGCGCACGGAGCGCCCGAGAGCGCCCAGAAGTCTGGGCTGTGGGCTCCTCAAAGATCAACAGCAGTAATAACCGAGCTCACTACAGACCTCGAAGGGGCCCGAGGGCACTCCAGGTCGTGCCTCAGGGCACCGTGGCGGACTTCACGTTCATATCCATTCAGGCCGTGCAGACCGCGCTCCGTGGTGGTCGCCTCTGCTTCAACGTGCAAGCTCTTGTTCTCACTTTCCCACCCTCCTGCTCCACCGTTGCTGGCTCTCTTGCGGCTGAGCCTGCGCTTGGACGAGGCCAGGACGAGCACATCCAGAGCGTTCCGGAACGCTCCCAGAGCGTTCTGGAGCGCTCTGCGAAGGCCGCGGCGCCCGAGAGATCCTCCAGAGCAGCCAGATCTCAGAGGTTCTCGATGTGTCCTCACCCGAGCTTCTCCTCGTTCTGGCGTCGTCTTTTCCCCCCCACCGCTGCGTTTGCGAGGTTGTGAGGCTGCTGGAGAGCATGCTCCAGAGCTCCAAGGCGGAGGATCCCGCCGCTCTCCGCCCCCGCCCCGCCACGGCCCGCTGCCGCCCAGCGCTCCCCGGCGCGCAGACGCTGCGCCATACAGTCGAGGCGCTGAGATGTCGAGGTGCTCCAGATTTTGTAATCAAGGGAGGGGGGTCTCATTTCGGGGGGGGTCTCTTCCAGGCTATCTTGGAGGGCCTGGGGGGGTCTGGGGACGATGCTTTGGAGGGTTCTCCCACGGGGGGGGGTCTGAAGTGGCTCGTCTTGGAGGTCCAGACCCCCTCCCTTTTATTACCAAATCTGGGGTGACCGTGGGACTCGACGAGCGCTCTGGATCGCCGGTCTGCTGACGCTTTTCGACGAGCGCGACCTCGGTTCTGACGGTCCAGCTCTCGTGGGGCGCTTGCAGCGGGGGCTTGCGTCAGATTTCAGATTGGGTCTCGTCAGTTTCATGAGCCCCCCGAACCCGAGCCTTACGCCCCCCGACATCAGTCAAGACGCTGAAATAAGGACCGCTTTGGGTTCAGGAGGGGCCTCTCAGCCTCGTTTCACCGATCCCTATTCTTAAGTCGGGCATGTCCCTCTACAGGATGAATATTCAAACATAGTCAAAACATAGCCTGGGGACGATTTTTCGAGTATATTTGGACTATTTCTAATACTTGTTGAACATTTTTGTCGTCCAGACTCCGCCTGTAGGGGGACATGCCCGACCTAAGCTTTGGGTTCAGGAGGGGCCTCTCAGCCTCGTTTCACCGATACCTATCCCCGTCCCCATGGCCATCCACAGCTCCACAGGTTTTTCCAACCCAGTTGGGGCTACAGTCGGGGCCGAGTGGAGAGGACACGCGAGAGGGCACGAGACCCTTGTGAGGGCAACTCTGCCACAGAAATGCGCAAGGCATGGGCCGCAAAACACTGGACACAAGGGTACCCTCGATTCAGCAGGGCCGACCCACTTGTCAGTCTCGACTGCATGCCCCTCGAGACCCGAAGATGACGGGCCATCTCCCCATCTAGGAGGGGTAAATCGGCCCATGGGGGCCCTGGCCACGCCGTCGGGGATGCAGTGGAGGCCCATGCCAAGAAACACCCTGCTAGCCTCCAGGGTGCCCTGGGCTTCTTTGGATTTCGGTGGTTTTGCGACGGGAGGGCGTGACGCTCCCACGCCAAGAATCGATGGACGCCCTGGGGTCTCAGGGCTGGGATTCCCGTGGCAGGTTTCTTGTGCACGGGCCTCCACTGAGGAGGAGGAGGAGGAGGAGGAGGAGGAGGAGGAGGAGGAGGAGGAGGAGGAGGAGGAGGAGGAGGAGGAGGAGGAGGAGGAGGAGGAGGAGGAGGGAGGAGGAGGAGGAGGAGGAGGAGGAGGAGGAGGAGGAGGAGGAGGAGGAGGAGGTGGGGGGGGGGGTCGGATCAAGCGCTGCTCCGGAGGGGCTCTGGCCCTCGGGCCCTCGCTCGGGCCACGGGCGGCGGCGCCCACTCGTGGCCGAGGCCCGCCGCGGCCGGCGCTCCCCTGCGGCAGCACGACGACCGCAGCCCATCCCCCGCCGCCCGGCGCTCGTCGCTGGCAGTGCCGCCGCCGCGCACAGGCGGGTGTCGCTCGACCGACCCCCAGCCAGGGCTCGTTTCGACTCCTCCGACTCGGTTCGAACTTCGCTCGGGGGCCTCTCGGGTGCCTCTCGGGTGCCTCTTGGAGGCCTCTCGGGGGGCTTCTTGGGGGCGCTCTTGGAGCCCTCTTGGGGGCGCTCTTGGGAGCCCTGGAGGGCCTCTTGGGTTGCCATCTTGCAGGCGGTCGGTCAAAAGAGAGGGGGTCCTCGATGTCTGCCCCCCCTCGGGGGCCACGATCCTCGTGAGGGGTGTCACACGTTGGCCCTTTCACAGGCCGAATAAGGACCCTCTGACACATCGGTCCCTCTCCCAAAAATCCCCAGGGAGGGGAGGGGGAGGGTTCCCCTCCTCGAAGGGAAGAGGGGTTGTGGAAGGAAAAAGAAATCACACTTAGACCACCTGTCGCCCAAAGGGCTGGTTGGACTCTCCCAGGTTGCCCTTGCATCCTTCCCCTTCGGCCTATCCTTGCCCGCTCTCGCCGGCCGCGCCCCGCCCGCAGAGTGTCGACATGGCCTTCCACAGCCCTTGCATCCTTATGGTTCGTTTTTGCTATGTGGGTTGGCGTCAACATCTGGAGGGGGTCAATCGGTCAGTGGGGCCCATGGCACGTCCATGGGAGAGGGGTCGGTTGAGCAGTGCCCACGAGTGCCCATGACACGGGCCCGCAGGCGGGCAGCGGCGTGACGGGGGGGGGGGAAGAGCGAGCCCAGACCCCTCCGACTTCGTGGCTTTTTCTCGCGGTGTGTGCTCCAGGCATCCGCCGATATGTTTTTGTTTGTTATGTTTTTTGTTTTGTTTTTGTTGCTTGTGGTTTTTCGATGCGCGGCCCCAGAGGTCCCGACCCCTTCCCCAGGATTTGTTTTTGGCCCCCGATCCATTTATGTTATCCCCAGGGCCCGATAATGGGCCAAGGAAGCTGTCATCGAGGAACAAAGGGCCGCATTGAGCAAATCGTGCACCCCCAGGACGAAAGTTGTTTCCTCTGGGGCCCAGACATGATGCCTTGATGCCTTCAACTCTTGCGCCAGCGCGAATGAGATAGACCTGTGCAGATCCCATTCAGTTGGTATGGATCCGATTTTGATTTTGCTTTGTGCTGCGGTGAATCCGACTTCCGTCCGCGCGGATTCGATTTAAGATGCTGTTGGTTTGATGTGCGTATCTTTTTTTCCACGCATCCGATTCCTACGCTGATTCAGATGTATAGGATGCAATTTGAAACAAGCGAGCCGAGAGAAGTCGGATACGCGGCACCCAGGCCCGGGCGGTGTCTCACGGACCTCACGAGCCCTCCCCGCCCATGGGTCGCGCCCCTCATGACGTCATGTCTCCTCGCCCCCCGACTGCTGCAGGCAGCTTGTCTAGACGCCGTGCGTTGGGCGGCGCCGACGCTCTGTCGGCAACCGCTTGTCGCCGTTGGGGCCGTTGCCGCCGTGATGATGATACCATCATCATCGTCATCACCATCATCACCATCATCGTCATCACCATCATTATCATCATCTTCATCATCACCATCATCATTATTATTATCATTCTTATCATTCGTATCATCGTTATTATTACTACTATTATAATTATTACAATTGTTATTATGGTTATTATTTTGTTTATTATTACTGGTATTACAATTTTTCTTCGTCTTTTTTCTTTATATCATGACTATTACTATTACTATTATTATTATTACTATTAGCATTATTGCTATCATCATAATTCTTATTAATAAAAGCAATTACTACTACTATTATTATTATTATTCTATTAGTATTATTATTTATTCTTGTATTATTTTTTTATCAGCTATCTTCTTTATTATTATTATTACTATTATTATTATTATTAGTAGTAGTCATTTTTATTATTAGTTATTATTATTATTAGTTTTATGATGATTATATGTATTACTATAGCTAATAATCGTAGTCTTTTCATCATCATCACCAGTATCATCATCTTTCGTCCTGCGTAGGTATCGTCGGAGATCTGGGGCCCCGGAGCTCTCGGCCCGATCCCTGGGCCAGGCCCCCCGGGCCGGCTTCTCGCCGCGACCCTTCCTGTGTGAGCCGACGACGACGAGGACGACGAGGACGACGAGGACGACGACGACGACGAGGACGACGACGAGGACGACGAGGACGACGAGGACGACGAGGACGACGACGACGACGAGGACGACGAGGACGAGGGCGACGCGCCGGCCCCCCACGAGGGCGACACGGAACGAAAGCTGTTCGCGAAGCACAAGTGCTACTGCGACGACAACGAGGAGGCCAAGACCAGCAGGAGCGCCCGGCCCCCGCCCCTCCCCGACGCCGCCGCTGCTGCTGCCGATCCCTTGCGCCTCCGCGCCACCCGGTTCCAGTCCGTGGCGGCTTGCACCGAGCCCGTCTGTGGAGGAAGTCGTGCCTGATCCCCTCCTCCCTCCCTCCCTCCATCCCTCCCTCCTTTCCTCCATCCCTCCCTGCTTCCCTCCTTCCCTCCATTCCTCCCTCCTCCCTCCTCCTCCCCTCCTCCGTCCCTGCCTCCCTCCTCCCTCCCTCCCCCCTTTCCTCCCCCCCTGCCTCCCTCCGCCACCGCGCTCATGCATGCCAGCGTTCCACCACCACCTCCCTCCCTCCTCCTCTAGCATCATGTCGCCTTGGACAAGCAAACCGGTGACCAGGCGCGGGATCATCGAAGTATGCCAAAATTGTAAGATAGAAACGAAGCGGAAGTACGAGTGTGAGACATGATAACGGAAATATGGACAATGCATGGAACATATGATTCTTATTCTCAAACTTGTTTAACATGTTTTCCATTGTTTCCAAGTACAGTTCCGCGCGATCTTTTTTCAAACCGTATTCAAACTTTTTCGAAGTTCCAAATCCAGCTGAACTGAGTCCAATTTTGTCACACCTTTTTTCAATTTGTGTCTTGTTCAAACTTTCCTCGAACTGCTTTCAAGTGTTTTTTTCCACACTTTGTTCAACGTTTGTTTTCAAATTGTTTGCAGATCTCCGAGAGAGCGTGATCCACCGTCGCTTTACTTTGGAACATTCCCCCCCCCTCTTCCAGAACCCGGGGTTCCCCTTCGAAAATCCTCCCCCTGCTGGACCCCCCACCCCCCCTTCCCCCGGCAAACCCCTCCACCCTCCCCTCTGGAAAATCGGGGGGGGGGGTCACTACCGGTTCGAACCCCCCCTTCTGGAAAACCGGGGGGGGGTCATTACCGGTTCGAACGGCGCCAGACTGGATGAGGGTGGGGCGCTCTAGGCCCCTAAAAGGCTTCAAACGGAGACGCTCTCTTTCCAACTCCGCTTCGTTCGTCCATTCTCTCCTTCTTCTCAACTCCTCTCCTCTTCCTCCTCCTCCTCCTCCTCCTCCTCCTCCTCTTCCTCCTTCCTGGCCCGCTCTGGAGATCAGCGTAATATCTTCGCGAAAAGGGCACCCGCCCCGTGGCAACGTGTTCTCTGTATAGCGACTGAGCAGGGTCTCGCGCCCTGCATGCTCCCCGAACCCTGCGCGCCCCGCGGCCCCCGACGTCGGGCTCCTCACTAGCCCTCACCTACTTGAGCACAAAGCAGCGAAGAGGTCGGCTTCATGGCGCCTGGCGCGCCACGCCCACGCGTGGACGTACTCGGCGATGCGGTCGTGGTCGGAGCTCTTGATCGGGGACGGGAGCGCCGCCTTGACCTCGTCCCAGCTGCCGTCCGCCGCCTCCGTGCCGTGCTTGAGCTTGACCATGCGGACGTTCCCGTTCTTGTCCTGCACACGCACGGCCTTCACGAGAACCCACTCCTCCTTCTTGTGGCTCACCACGCCGTGCGACATGGCCAACTTGCGGTAGTGGGCGCGGAAGCGCTCCCGCCCGTGCCTTGGCCGCGTCCCCAGGCATTGCTTGGCGGACCCCGATGCCCCCGCGCGCTCGAGGCAATCTTTGCGGTCGCAGCAGGGCGAGCAGACCAAGTCGCCAGCGGCGAAGGCCTCGTAGCAGTCGGCGCCGTCGGTCAGGGCGATCGCAGCGCGGCCGAGGTGCTTCCTGACGGCCTCGTCGCACTGGACCCCGCTCAAGGGCACGCCGCCGCCGCCAGCCATGCTCGTCTCTCAGGGGAGCTGGATGAGAACCATGTTGGCCCTATTGCCGCGCTCGACCATGATGAGCCAACGCTTCCAGAGAAAGCGGTCGGCAGAGCACTCAGGCTTGCACTTGTCGCTCGGCTTCTTGCGGCTGACCCGCTCGGCCCTGATGCCTCACTCGTCGAGCTCCACGAGCATGCCGTCTTTGAACTTGATGCGGGCCTGTTCTTTAAGGCTAAGCTTGGTCATGCGGCGGCGCACCTAGTTCAAGTATGACGCCATGGTGTCCTTCGAGATGCCCTGCGCGACCGTGTAATCTCCGCGACTCGGGTGGCGCGCAGTCCAGGGCACGCGCGCCAAGTGCACGGCGAGTAGCCCTTCGCCTGCTGGTGCTCCCCCTCTGCCGCCGAGAGAGATGGGGGCGCCCTCCTCGCTCTGGGCCGCGATGCCCCTATTGTTCCCGCTGCGCGTCCAGTCGCCGCAGCGGTGCCTGCGCCGCGTCGGACGCTCACCTGAAGAGATAGCATAACGCGCAACCCATCTCACATAGAAACCGCCCCCCCCACAACGCCCAACGCCCCCAAATCTATCGGGGGGGCACTGCGCTGCGTGATCTCCCAGATACCTGCGCGTCGCCCACGTTGACGGAGATGCCGAGATACCCCTTGTCTGCGCACGCATGGAGGGACAACTTAGCGCCGCAATTGCGTGGGCACTTCTTGCCCTCTATCTGCGGCAAATGCCCGGGCTCCGCGCCAGCGCGAATCCTGTTTGCGACGTCCATGCCACAGAGCCCGCGGAAGTCAATGCGTTCCGCCTTGGCTTTGCTGGCGAGGGGCGCCGTCTCCCCTTTACCGGCGTTCTTCCCGCTGTGGCGGGGGCAAGGTAATTCCTGCGCCCTGGCCCCGCCGACTTTCGATTTGGCCCCGGGCCGCGTCGTCGTGCCAGACGACGCGCAAGCGGGCTCCTTCACGCGCCTCTTGAAGTGGGCATTCCCCATTGGACGCAGGGCGCCTCGAAGCGACGCGCTTCTTGGCGACCTTCTTGGTCTTCGTCGCTGTCTTCGCCGCCGTCTTCGTGGTCTTCGTGGTGATCATGGCCTTCATCGCCGTCGTCGCCATCGGCGGGGGCGATGGATGCGATGAGACTGCCGACGGCGACAACTGAGCCAACATGCGGCGGGGCAAGAGAGGCGATTAGTGGAATAACAGCGTGGCCGTTCTGACGCAGAGGCAAGGACGCAACGGTGTCACCGCGTGCGATATCTATCATTGCCAAGGGCGCAGTATCCGTATAAAGGCTGACACATGTTGCGTGCACCCCCCAGCGATCTGGGTGCGCCCCAACAGCCGCATGTCTCCCCGAGCGAATTTGGCTACCAACCGCAGCTAGAGTCATGTGCTACGCCTGGCCCCCCGCTGCTGCGGCCGCGCCCAGCCCGCGTCCGAGTCGATCGTCGCGACGCCTGTTGGGGGCTCAACAGCAAGGCGGCGGAATGAGGGCGCGCGAAAGAATCGCCCGTTCGCTGCGCGTTGCCAGGAGGGGCAGCCGCGCCCGTGACCGAACGGCGCGCATCTCAAGCACCCGCTGGACAACAAACGGGCGATTCCTATGGCGCCTCGCCTGCGCCGCCCGACTTGTGCGCCCCCCGAGCCTGGGGGGATCTCCTGGATCGCCTCCTTGTCCACGGGCTTCGCCTCGAACACCTCCCGCTTGGCAGCCCTCGGTCGGGTCCAGCTTGATCGGCGCGCGAGGCGCCTGCTCCCGCTTGGCGCTGCGCCCCCCCTTCTTGGCGGGGACGACATTCTGCGAGGCGTTGAGCCCATCGCTGATCACGCTCCTCTGCAATGCGTTGAACTCCCTGAACGTGATGGCGCCTGCCTGGTGGGGCCCCCGGAGCCGCTCGACCTCCTGCGCGGGGGTCCCGAGCGGCTGCTCCTCCTCGCCCTCGGAGTCGCCGCGGTCGCTCCCGAGGTGGTCGCACCTGATGCCGCCCGCGAAAGGGTCGGGGGACGCCGCGCGCCCCTCCTGGGCACCAGGCTTCGCCCGCTTGGCTGGGGGCCCCTCGTCTGGCGCGGCTGGGGCCGCCATGGGGGCCGCGGGCACGCCCGCTGGCGGGGCCGCGATCTCAGGCTGAACCCTGTGCACGGGCTCCCCGAAGAGCGAGGTCCCGCGGGTGGTCGACGCAGTGGGCATTTGTTCGCCGCGCATCAGGCGCTTCGCGAAATTCCGGGACCACTCCGCCTTCTCCTTGAAATCGGACGGATAGTTGTTCGGAGAGGTCGGGCCGTCCTTGTACTTGCCGAAGCACGCGCGCGCCTCTGGCGAGTAATTGAAGAGGCCAGGCTTTGCTGTATAGGTAGAAGGGCACGGCGCCGCCCTCCGGAAACTCACCGGATGCCAAGCGGAAGTGCACAACGTGTCCGTGGTCGCGACAACGTGGGTCCTCGCCAGCAGGGCCTTCATGTCTTCTTCCTCCGTCATCTGCTTCAGGGGGGGCGCGATGAGATCCGTGAGCTGCTGGGTCGTGATCTCCATTGGTTTCTTTTTGTGCCATTCTCTCACCAACCGCTTCTCCAAGGAATTGTCGTAACTGTTGTTCGCGGCCTGGCGGGAAGTCGCTGGGGCGAACGTGCTGGGCCCCGACCTCGCCCGCAGTGTGGAATCCTCCTCGCATGGGTTGGGGAAGGTCTTCGACGCGGATGCGTCCTGCTTGTGCAAGTCCCCGTCGTCGAACACCGCGGGTGGCACCCTCTCCGCGGGCTCGCCCCTGAAGACATCAAAATGCTTGGCGGTGACAACTGAAGGCTCGGGCGCGCCCTCCCCGGCATCGCCCTCGGGGACATCGATCTCGAGCATGGGCATCAAGAGCGCAAGTGTCTTCGACGCCGTCGACTTCCCTACTCTGGTCTTGCCGACCCAGAGCACGCTGTTGCGTTCAAGAGTTGGTAGGATCTTCGCGGGCACCTCGTTGATGAACCGCGGCTCGAAGCCCCTCCGCATGAGCGCCCAGACAGAGAGGCGCATGGCGTTGATGCGCCCGCTCGCATGGTTCCGCAGCGCCTGGGCCACGCGGGACTCTTCCCAACCGTAGATTTTCGACTGAGGGTCGTTGGTCTCCTGTGGGGCGGGGGGGAGAACGGCGCTGGTTAGCTAACCGGAATCGCTCGGCGGCCGAGAAGGCCCGCGCGGTCGAAGATGGGGGCCAGGTTGGCAATGGCTCGAACCAGATGGCGCCGTGTTCCTCTGCCCTGATGTCCCTGTCCGCGAACTCCATGAACTGATTGCTTTTGCTGCTCTTCGGGCCTTTCTACTCGGTGTAGCGGTGCCTCTCCTGCTTCTTATCCCACTCGGTCGAACGCTTGCCAGGCTTCGCCGCGGCGGTCAGCGTGGAAAAGCGAATCTGTAGGCCGCCGAGCTTCGCCTGGAGATAACAGATCGCATTGCGGCCAGCCCTCCGCTGGTTCTCATACTGATACACGACGCCTGTGCCACAACACATTGGCACGCAGTTGGCCATCTTCAGGCACTGACCCTTCAGGTCAACGTCCTTGAAAATGCGCACTCTGCCCTCGCCAGCGCCCGCGACGAAAATCTGCATGGCGTACGGCCCACCAGGTTGGCTCTTGAGCGGTGGGGGGAGGCCACTGAAATTGGACTTCGTGGCAAGGTCCTTGACCGCGTCCAAACGGCACGGTTGCACTTGGGGGTCCTTCCAGTCAATGAGGACACCGACCGCTTTCCCGTCAGAGCCCTGGATATCCTCGTAAGCCTGGTTCATCAGCAGGTCCCCGAAGTAAGATATCTTCGTGCCTGCGTGGACGTTCATGGGCGCAGCAGGAAGATCCGCGATCTTCGACAGCCCCTCTTGTCCTACGTGGCCGTGTGGGGGGCCAGCGTGGAAGTGGGGCTTCATGCCGTCGGCGTTCGCGAGGGCCTCGTCTAAAGTGATGCTCTCGTCCTCAACGGCGCTCCCGAGAGTCTCGCGGATGGTCTTGGGGGGGATCGCGTTCTCCCTCGCCTTGGCAGCCGCAAGGGAGAAGGGTCGATGCGAAAGGCGCGTACGACCAAACAACTTGGGCCGATCGGGCACTACGGAGCCCCGAAGCGCTCCGAAGCAAGTCATTCGAATGCCAGTTTCTGGCGTTTTCGGAAGCATTGGAAGTCGACAGCTGTCGACTGAGATGCTTGGAGTCGGGGCTTGTCCCAGGCAGCTGGATAACTCTCCACCGCAATATGCAACTCCGAGGCGCCTTGGTGGTACGGATACCAATGCCTCCCTTGAGGCGCTCCTCCTCCTCCTCCTCCTCCTCATGTTCATCCTTCTCTATTTCCCAACCTCATCGTCGCCCACCTCTTGTCATCCTTCTCATGTTTCCTCCTCCTCCTCATTCTTCTCCTCCTTCTCCTCCTCCTTCTCTTCCTCCCACCATCAGCATCTTCATGCTCATCAGCAGCCTGATCATGATCATCGCCGTCGTCGGCGACGTCGGCATCATCATACGCACCACCATCGGCATAAACATCAACGTTGTCGTCATATTAACACACCTGAACACGAGGGGCTGCAGGGCACACGAGGGGATCGCAGGGGACACGAGGGGGACACAAAGGGGACAGCAGGGAACACGAGGGAAGATAGCAGGGGACACGAAGGGAAACTAAACCTTTTCAAGTTCTCCGTCCCACGCCTGGAGAGTGAACCTTTTTCGAGTTCCCTCTCCAGACCGAGTACAGGGGGGAAAGTGAATTTTTCAAGCTCCATATCCCGCGCCTGAGGAGTGAACCTTTTCAAGTTCCCTCTCCAGTTCAGACGCAAGCGGGAAAGTGAAACTTTTCAAGTTTTCCTTCCCACGCCTGGAGAGTGAACGTTTTCAAGTTCCCTGTCCAGACCGAATGCAGGGGGAAAGTGAACCTTGTAAAGCTCCATTTCCCACGCCTGAGGAGTGAACCTTTTCAAGTTCCACCTCCAGACCGAATACAGGAGGGAAAGTGAACCTTTTCAAGTTCCATTTCCCACGCCGGAAGAGTGAACCTTTTCAAGTTCCCTTTTCAGTTCAGACGCAAGTGGGACAGTGAACCTTTGCAAGTTCCTTTTCCCGCGACTCCCCCCAAAACAAAACAAAACAGACAACAAACATCAATACAAAACAAAAAAACATGCTACGCAAGGATTCTCCTTTTTTTTTTTTTTTTTTTTTTTTTTTTTTTTTTTTTTTTTTTTTTTTTTTTTTTTATATAAAAAAAAATATTTTTTTTTATTATTATTTTTTTATATTATTATTTATATTATTATATATATATATATATATATATATTCTGCGTCTCTGTTCTGGAGCAGGATTTCTGCTTCTCTGCTTCTGTGCTCTCTTAAGATGCCACGGATGCGGGCCCTCTTAAGAACAATGGCAATGACGAGAGGAGGGAGGTGGAGGAGGAAGAAAAAGGAACGAACAGAGGAAGGACGGGAGACGGGAAGAGAGCGGTTCCATTTCAAACCCGTTGAAGGCCTAGAGCGCCTCACCCTCATCCAGTCTGGTGCTGTTCGAACCCCCCCCTTTGAAATCCGGGGGGGGTCACTACCGGTTCGAACCCCCCCCCCACCCCCCACTCACCGCGGGCAAACGACTCCCGGGTCTCAACCACCGTCCGCACCACATCCCCCACTGCTGTCCCCAGCACCACTGTCCCCTAGGGGGCCGCATGCGAACCCTACCTCTACCCCCCACGATTTCTGAGGGGGAGGGGTAGGTAGGGTTCGCATGCGGCCCCCTATCCCCACCACCAGTGTCTCCACTGCTCCCACCACCGTCCCCACTGTCCTCATCAGTGCCCCCACCACTGTCGCACTGTCCCCACTGTCCCCACCACTGTTCCCACCAGTGTTCCCACCACGCACTGAGCTGTCCCACTGTTCCCACCAGTGTCCCCACTGTCCCCACCACTGTTCCCACTGTACCTCTGTCCCACTGTCCCACCACCGTCATCGCCACCGCCCTCACCACTGTCCCCACCACCACTGTCCCCACCACCACTGTCCCCACCACTGTCCCACTGTCCCCGCTACATTCCCACTGTCCCCCACCACTGTCCCTACCACCACCGTCCCCACCACTGTCCCACAGTCCCCACCACTGACCCACTGTCCCCACACTGTTCCCACCATTGTTCCCGCTGTCCCCACCAGTGCCCCCACCAGTGTCTCACTGTCCCCACTCTCGCCACCTTTGTCCCACCACGGTCCCGCTCTCCCCACTTTCCCCACGGTCCCCACCACTGTCCCATTGTCCCCACTGTTTCCACCACCGTCCCAGTGTCCCCACTGTCCCCGCCGCTGTCCCACTGCGAAGTCCCACTGTGCTGTCCCACTGTCCCCACTGTCCCCACCACTGTCCCACTGTCCCCACTGTCTCCACCACTCTCCCCACCGTACTACTGTCCCACCACCGTCCTCACCACCGCCTTCACCACTGTCCCCACCACTACCGTCGCCCGCATTGTCCCACTGTCCCCACCACTGTCCCGCTGTCCCCTCACCACTGTCCCCACCACCACCGTCCCCACCACTGTCCGCACCACTGTCTCATTGTCCCCACACCACTGTCCCCACCACCACCGTCCCCACTACTGTCCCAGTATCCCCGCCACTGTCCATCTGTCTCGAGGTGCGGGAATCGTTCGCCGGCGGCGAGGGGGGGGGTTCGAGCCGGTAGTGACCCTCCCCCCTTTTCATGATGGACTGGGAGGGTGGGGGGGGGTTCGAACGGGACCCCCGCCGGTTTTCGAGGGGGGGGGGGGGGCGGGATGGGAACCCTCGGTGACCACCCCTGGTTTTCCGCCAGCAGCGGTAGAACACGCTCTTTCAGATCTCCAGATCTGGGCGATTTTTTTTGGAGTCATCCCAACTTTCAGATCTGGGCGAACTTTGTCCACACCTTGAACGTTCTTCATTTTTTTCCTTCCAGACGTTTTTTTGTGTGTTGTTTATAATTCTTCTCTTCTCTCAGATGTGTCAAACTTTCAAATCTGGGCAAATTTTCGAAACGTTTTATATACTTGTTCAGTTTTTCCAAAACATTTGTACAACTTTCAGATCAGAGGACTTTTTTCCCAACCATCCTGTGGTGTTGGGTCCTCGTTTTGAAGAGACGGTCCCCGCGTTCCTCCTCCTTCCTCCTCCCTCCCCATCCTTCCTCTTCCCTGCGTTTCACCCACCCAGTACAGCGTTGCGTGGCCCCATAGTGAGCTCCACCGAAGGCCACAGTGCCACCGCCCGCATGCGTCCCCCACACGCATTTCGGCACACCCCTCACACGTTTCGTGGCCCCATAGGGAGCCCCTCCGAAGGCCTCAGTGCCACCGCCCGCGTAGCTCCACCCCCCAGTGCCACCGCCCGCATGCATCACCCACGCGCATTTCGGCACACCCCTCACACGTTTCGTGGCCCCATAGGGAGCTCCACCGAAGGCCACGGTACCACCGTCCGTATGCGTCACCCACATGCGTTTCGGCACACCCCTGACACGTTTCGTGGCCCCATAGGGAGCCCCTCCGAAGGCCTCAGTGCCACCGCCCCATTTCGGCACACCCCTCGCACGTTTCGCGGCCCCAATAAGGAGCTCCACCGCATGCGCCAGTGCCACCGCCCGCATGCGTCACCCACACGCATTTCGTCAAACCCCTCACACGTTGCGTGGCCCCATAGGGAGCTCCACCGAAGGCCCCAATGCCACCGCCCGCATGCGTGACCCACGCACATATGGCACACCCCTCACGCGTTTCGTGGTCCCATAGGGAGCTCCACCGAAGGCGCCAGTGGCTGCGTTCGCATGCGCCCACCGCACCCATTTCGGCACAGCCATCACTCGTTTCGCGGCCCCATAGGGCGCTCCACCGACGCCCCCAGTGCCACCGCCCGCATGCGCACACCAGATAATTTTTGGCACGCTCCTCAGACGTTTCGTGGCCTTATGGGGAGCTCCTCCGATTGCGATGCATACAACGACGGTAGTCACAACTGTATATGGTTTGGTTCTTCGCCAGGCTAATTTCAATTCTGGCGACTTGCTTTCAAACTTCCCACAGTTTTCCCATCTTTACAAACCTCCAGATCTGGGCAGACCTTTCAAACTTCCAACTCTGGGCAAACGCACTCTCATATTTCACCCGCTCCGCGATTTCGCATTTTTCTCATACTTGTTTTAAGCTTTGAACAGAAATTATCCCAGTGCGACCCTACCTAGGAGTTGGAGCCCCTAGGAAAGCAGCATTAGTAGTAACAGTAAAGCTAAACTAAAGCTAAGCTAAAGCTAAGCTGAAGCTAAGCTAAAGCTAAGCTAAAGCTAAGCTAAATCTAAGCTACAGCTAAGCTAAAACTAAACTACAGGTAAGCTACATCTAAACTAAAGCTAAATCTAATCTACAGGTAAGCTAAAGCTAAGCTACAGGTAAGCTAAGGCTAAGCCACAGCTAAGCTAAAACTAAGCTAAATCTAAGGTAAAGCTAAGCTAAAGCTAGACGAAAGCTAAGCTACATCTAAGCTAAAGCTAAGCTACAGCTAAGCTAGTGCTAAGCTAAAGCTAAGCTAAATCTAAGCTAACGCTAGGCTAAAGCTAAGCTAAAGCTAAGGTACAACTAAGGCACATCTAAACTGCAGCTAAGCTAAAGCTAAGCTAAATCTAAGGTAAAGCTAAGCTAAAGCTAAGCTAAAGCTAAGCTAAAGCTAAGCTAAAGCTACGCTAAATCTACGCTAAAGCTAAACTACAGCTAAGCTAAATCTACGCTACATCTAAGCTACAGCTAAGCTAAATCTAAGCTAAGCTAAGCTAAGCTAAAGCCAAGCTAAAGCTAAGCTAACGCTAAGCTAAAACTAAGCTAAGCTAAGCTAAGATGATCTAAGCTACACTAAGCTAAGCTAAGCTAAGCTACAGCTAAGCGAAGCTAAAGTGAAGCTAAGCTAAGCTAAGCTAAGCTAAGATGAGATAAGCAACGCCAAGCTAAGGGGACGTACCTGGGGGAACC